TCTTATTGCAAAGGATCGTGATCTTATGTGGCATTTTGAACATATGTACTAAGAAATATATAATTAATAATATGTGTATACACGAATAATTAGAATGTTTTCAAACATTTTATTAATCTACAATATGGATATATTACATGCATCAAAAATACTTATTTATTTGTTAAAAAAGAATAATTAATTGCGAAGTTGATATAAACGAAGCAAATAAAATAGACGATCGATTCGAAATCGAAACATTGTTGTTTCGAAATTCTCGAACTATTCGATTTCGAATCTTACAGATTTGAAAATAAACTCAAATCGAATCCGCTGTGATTCGATTCGAATTCGAACTATTCGCACACCTCTAGTTTTTAAGCGGAGTTTACATAGAGACGTAGACGTAGACGTAAGAAATTGGGAAGATATGATTGGATATGGAAAAATAAAAATGGCGAGTAACCTCTCTCGTGATTGGCTGGACGTAGTAAAATATCAATATTTTTATATTCTACGTCCTATGTTTATACGTCTACGTCTCTATGTAAATCACGCTTTACTCTTAAATAGAAACATCCATTACGAAAAAGACGCACTGGCTAGGGATTGTAATTCGTGTAATCCAAATACTACAATAACTACAGGAAAAAATTACAATAAACCTATGTGATTTTTTCGCACTATGGTCAATGGATTACAGAAAAATATTACAGGGGAAATATTATAGGGATTTACACGGATCACAGATCAAATATTACCTAAATAGAAAATAAACCAGAAATTAGCCAGTAACTGGCTAATAAAAAATAAAAATTTTTTTACTTATTATTTTTTAACAAGTATTTAGAAACTTCAAATAACTTTTATTAACCATTCGTAATTTTTCAATACATTTTTATTATAATTTTATTTTAAGTAATAATAATAAAAAACAAATAAATATAAATAAAAAAATAATGTAAAAAATGTAAATAATTTTAAATTATAAAAAAATAAAATGTAAATAAAATAAACAAAAACAAATTATGTAGAAAAATATTAAAAAATATTTTTATATATGTATATGTATACAGGGTGATTCAGAATAAGTATATTGTCCTTAAACATACGTATTTCTGACCACATTCTGAGACGATTTTTCCTTTGGCAAAAATTTGTGCGGAGCTTAGTTTTCAAGTTATAAAGAGAAATAGTTAACGAATTATGGGCCGCGTACGGAAGGTAGACAGGGGCGGCGCAACTTACTGTCCGACGGCAGGCGAGACCATGGTGCAAGTATAACTTATCCCTTCCACCATGGGCGAGACCCTCGCGACGATCAGCTGACTATACACGCGCGCATAAATATGCGTTTACATTTTCTCTCTCTCTCTTTTTCACACACACGCACACACGTACGCACGCACGCACGCACGCACGCACGCATGCACGCACGCACGCATGCACAAAATTTTACCTTTTAAAGATTTGTCGACTTCTGTAGCTTCTCGAAAAAGATAGATGAATTCTCATTTCGATGTGATTTCCACGTAATGAGTGTTTATTTTATTAAATTTTCGATAGTTTTAATGTAAACGTCACAAGTTATCCACTGACTGACACAGATTAAATAATTAATTAGTTAATTCTTTTTTTACAAACCGTGTCACTTCAACATTTTACACTCGATTCACATACAAACTATTCATTTGAAGAAATCACAAGAAATCTATTAATGTATCTACTAATTAATATCCGTTACGTACTTTACAATCACTGTCGATTAATTATCCGTCCACTGAAAAATCACTCGAAGAAAGAAACACGCGACAATTTACTGACACACAAGGCGTTCACTCGACAATAGCAAGCAGTCGACTGACTTCAACTAATCACATGTCGCGTTTCGACTGCAGCGCTGCAAACATAACCATAAAATAAAATCAGTCGACTGCTTGCTATCGTTGAGTGAACGCCTCGTGTGTCAGTAAATCGTGTGTTAGTAAATAGTGCGCATGTTTCTT